TATATATATATATATATATATATATATATATATATATATATATATATATACTGTTATTTATATATTTAAATAAGTTTTTTAATTATTATTATATATTTAAATATATTTAATTATTATTGTTATTATTATTTTAGAGACAGGGCGAGGTCATGGACGTCCACGGGCAGTTCAAAAGAGGTCTGCAGATAGCTCTGGAACACTGGATTTGAGGTTATATTAGTATTTTTATTATGTATATTATTATTTATTATATATATTGTTAATATTCATTATTATATATTATTAATTATATGTGCGTATTTATTTATTGTTGTTAGATAGATCAAAATGAAATTCTGGAAGATCAAAAAATGGTGGTTTTGGCGCCAAAATTTGTAGTGCGTCTGTCCTTTATTGTCTGCGCGCGCGGTTGTTTCTCTCAATCTGGTGCGCTGTCTCGCTCAGCTCGATGGTATGAAATGGAGTGAGTGTGGTACCAGAGTCATTGTTGTCAGTTGTTTGGGTGCTGGGCGGTCGGTTGTTTGGGTGTGGGTTATATTCGGTGTATTGGTATTGGGTTCTATTCAAAATATTAGTATTTGGACGTGTAGTAGTACGAATATTTCGTTAATACGAATTAATTTGGACGTGTAGTAACATATGTTATATAAATCTCCTTTGTTGTCTGTCTCTCTTAATCGCACACACTCTCCCTCAGATGCGATGGTATGAACGTGGATGAGTGTGGTACCAGAGTTATTGTTGTCGTTTGTTTAGTTGCTGCGCGGTCGGTTGTTTAGAGTGTTCTCTATGTTAGGTTACATTCGAAGTATTAGTGTTGGGTTGTATTCAAAATATTCGTATAAGTGGCTTTGATGTAGACGTGTAATAATATATGTAATATTAGTAATAATATGTATTATATAGGTAATAGTAGTGTATATAAATAATATCAATGTGTATATAAATAATAGTAGTGTATATTCAGGAGTGATCTAGGCAGTAATACGTTAGAGAGTATAGTGATGGGTCGAACCTATCATGGTAGCCCTACGAAATTTACAACGGCAAATGGAGACATAGTCAGCTTTAGGTATTTTTTGATTATTTATTATTTATTGTATATTATTTAATTTCGTGGTAATATTTCAGTTCGATATTACAAAGTATTGAGAGTCGTAATAGTAATAATAATGATAGTAATGGAAATAATAATAATGTGGAATATATCGAAATGGAAGTGGACAACCCAACGCAGACAGTTGGGCAATATTTGGCCCAGAGGGTGCAGGCGGCTGGAATCAGGCGGAAGTATCTAAATAGTAATAATAATAGTATAAATATAAATAATATAAACGAGATCGAGAGACGACTGGCGCAGAAGATAGCATTGTTGGATCGACCAGTCAGGGAATTCGTTTCGAAACCGGATAATCCGCAGGTAATAGTAAATTTTAGTAATGCATAATAATAAATAATGTAGTAATAAAAAGTGTTATGTATAGTAATAATTGCAGCTACTGGTAACGCCGAGACCCATAGTGGCAGTATCGAAGGGCGTGGCGCAATCGAATTACTCGGATGATAACACGATGGCGCAGGTGGCACGTGAGGCAGCGGCTACGAGCAGTATTGTGTCACATCAGGTCGGGTTTTGGATCGTGTTTTAGTCTTATTCTTTTAGGCGGGTTGTGACATTTACCAACCCTGTTCGTGCGTGTGACGTCTACCCACCCGTTCGTAAAAGGATTACATTTTTTAGCAGCAACTGCTGAACAGTGCATGCAGTTCGGGTATGCCCTCTCCAGTGCCGTTCCTCGCGTCACTGGTTGCCAGTCCAATCGGCACCCCACGGGCAACACCACCCGGCATCCCCGGCGGCGCATCCTTTCCAGCACACATGGGAACTGTGGCAGCGGCAGCAGCAATTCCCGCGGAAACAACAGTCACATCGGCAGCAGCATCAGCAGCTTCCGCGGCCATGGGAAGCACAAGTTGTTTCCCATGGGAAGTGTCAAACCAGTTTTTGAATTATTTCAATGAGAACTCGCGTTCGCCGAATAACACTGCACAACTGCAGCAAATTTGCACTGAGGCTCCGCCCGCAACCGCACGCGTCAGCTCGCGAGCGCGTGCCGATTCGACGACAAATAGTGGCGAGCAGCTTTTGGTACGTTGGTTTTATTGTTTTTATTTATTTATTAATATTCATTATTATTATTTATTATTATCATTGTTATTGTATATTATTATTAATTAGTGTTATTAATGAAGCGCTTCAGGTAAGGGCACAGCCAGACTCGACAACCACTGAGCCGGGTTGTTCTGGTTCTTCAGTGATCGATACAGTAGTCACCGAAGTTCCAGTCGAGAGCCCGGATGTTGGCGAGCGGCCATGTTCTACGCGTAGCAAACGTCCGCACACGCCGACTGCAACGATCACTTCCACTTCGGGCTTAGCGGATGATGTGAAGGCGGAGCAAGTCAGCCCGGGATCGGGATTGAAATGCCAGTGACGGCAAAATGCCACATCATCATAGGTAATTTGCAGCACAAAACCGCGAGTGGCGCAGCTAAATAACAACAACAAGTTTTCCGCAGGTTAAAAGTTTCTTTTCTGGAGTTATGATGAAAATGTTATTAAATTTTCATGGTATTGAATATTAATGTGTATATTATTTTTTATTATTATTACTGTTATTGTAATAAGTGTTAATGTAGATTGTTGCCGTAAGATATATTACGATCATAACATAGCATAACTGTTGCAGAATTTGTATAGTTATTATTATATATTGTTACATGTATTGTTTTATATTGTTATATGCAGTTATTATATAATTGCAATTGTAATAAATCTTTTGGTCGTTGACTTATAATTTTATTGATGACTTCAAGTGTGATATCTTCGGAAAGTACTTGTACCTTGTTGTTATTACTGCTAAATTATAATTATTACTGATAAGAGGCGATTGTTATATAGCGATGTGTGCGTGTGGGCAATATCAGAAGAATAGAGCTGCAGGGAACAGCCTCGAGGGTGTATATGTCAGTTGGATGTGAGGTGTGTCATATTTATTGTTATTATTATATATGTTATGTATGTTATTAATGTATATATTTTATGTGTATGTATAATTGTTATTATTATTGGTGTCAATGTTTTAGAGAAGAGGATGGATCATGTAGCAGTGTGATTTGGAGGTGTGGTGTGGTCTGGTTTGGTTTGGAGAGTATGTTTTATTTATTTTTATTTGTTATTATTATGCTTATTTATTATTATATATTATTGTCATAATTGTTTTAGACTATGTCAAGAACAAACGATTTTCCGTTGCCGTTTTTGCGATTGCTCGGAAGAGAGCTGCATGTGTTGGACCGAGTTCGATTTTTGAAGGTCTCGAAGAATTGGCTCGCTGCCAATAAATATTTCGTATCGCAGAATTTTTTCGTGAAAAAGTTGTCGATTTGGGAGGATTTCGTGACGTTTGACATTGGCAGCGATGAATTATTTGGGGAAAATGGTTATTATTTATTATTATTGTTTCTTATTATTTATCATATTTATTATTGTTATTTAATATTACTGTTATTATGTGTTGTTATGCATTCTTGTTTGGTATGGTACTGATAAGAGTAATAATAATAAATAATATGATAACAATAAATAGTAATAGTAATAAATATTTTCAGATCTGAAGCAAATCTCCTTTAGTATCGCTAGCAACTGCAAACGGACGTCGTGTTATGCGTTTGAATCGTTGAAATTATTTGTGTATAATATTAAATATATACAAATTGTGTATATTTATAATATTTTTTACAATAATAATAATTCGAAATCACTAGAGAAGTTGTATTCGCTATTCAAGCAATGCTGCAGACACTGGAAATGTTTCGCGATTGTGCCGAGGTGTGTTATTATTATTACTGTTACATATTGTTATTATGTTTATTATTTATTGTTGTATTTATTATTTTATGTTGTTGTTATATTTATTATTATTAATGTTTGAGCACGATTACGGAGCCAGTATGCAGGATAATGGAACTTTTCGCATCGTCGGTTACAATGTTGAGTGTAGGTGTTTAATGTTATTTAGTATTATTATATTTATTAATATTGTTTATCATTAATTATTGTTGTAATAATTTTCAGATTAGAAAGGATAATGAGTTCATTGTGAATAAATCAAATAGACTGGGAATGCTTGGAGGGTTTTTGTGCAATGCAAATTCGTTGAAGGTATTTATTATTATTGTTGTTGTTGTTATATATTATTATTGTATATAATACGGTTATGTATATTAATAATATAGGTATTAACCGTACCGATCGAGCTGGTGAACGATTCAACGAGAAATATGGTGATTTCGAGTAATTTCAAAAAATTTGGAGTATTGACGATCCGAATCACTGACGAATTTGGATACAGTGAACCGCAGGATTGGATTAATATATATGTAGCGGGTTAGTTTTATTATTATTAATTATTATTATTTTTATTATTACTTATTGTTATTATTTATTATTATTTAATGTTATTCATTATTATTATTATTGTTTCAGAGCTGATGAATACAGTGGAATATTGTATCAATATAGATATTAGTAAAGAAATAATATTTATTAATACAATTCAACAATTGAATATGGTGATGGATAAATATATAAAGGAATTGGAGAGAATATTAAATATAATATTAGTTGGCAACGAGCCAGCAGCAGCATTTATTGGCACACGGCCAGCAGCTGATATCATCATTCGTTTCGAGGGCAGTGCCGCGTTGAGGGGAAGGTACGATTTCGACGTGGCTGCGATGACGTCATCGACAGTGTGCGCGTTGATAACGTGAGTATACATTATTATATTGATTATTGTGTTTATTATTATACATTATATTGTTTGTTATTATTTATTATTATTATTCATTAATATTTGGTATATCGTGGTCGTTCTGTGAGGATCGTTTCTTTTTAGCGTTTTGCACTGCCTTCTGGAAGGCTTTATAGGCATCCTGAAATAGGTTTTATAGGCTTGCGATTATTTGTTGTGTTAAATAACCTTGATTTGCTGGTTTTGTTTCGAGATGAAGTCTTCGATGTAGAAGAGGCGGTCATTGTAGGGCAGAGATTTAATTTCGGTGATTAAATCGTCGAATTGCTGAAATATTATTATTATTAGTTTTGATAGGTATTGTAGTACTAAGTTACCTCAATAACTTGGTGGGAAGCGTTCAGTAGATAGACGGGAATGGGCATTTGCAGCTTTTTGGGGTAGGTTTGGGGTAGGGTAGTGAGGATAATTAGGGTGATTGCTGAGAGGGTTTTGAATGAGGGCAGCATTCTGAATAAGGTAGGATTTGTCCGCAGAGAAAGTATGACAGAGGTGTTGGGAGGCAGTTATATTATTGGTGATTTTAATGAATGGACTGAATTTATAGCCATTTTTGTAGTAATGATTTGGATGGTCATTAGCGAATAGCCATTAAAAAAAGTTCAGCAGATGTGTATACATTAGGGGTTAGCAGTTGGGTTAGTGTAGTGTTTTTTGGGGGATTATGTGTTTGGTTTGGGAGTTTGTTTGGTTTGGAAATTGTGAGATTGCGTTATTTTTGGGTGGTGCATAATAAAATATTTAATTGATTGTTTTATGATTCATTGAAATGTTGTTTAGTTTGATTGTTTAATTTGAATGAGTTTAATTCGGTTTATTAAATCGATTTATTTGTTTTAATCGGTTTGATATGCGTGGTGACTAATTTAATTGATTGTCTTGTTAGTGCTGGCGTTGTTATTCGATATTTATTTATCATTTGTTCATTAGTGGTATAATGAGTTTGGTATATTTTCAGGTGTGCAGCTGTGATACCGAATGGTATGGATTAGGATAGAGGGGGATTTGATGTAATTTTGGGACATTTTTCGCGAAAAAATATTTAAAATTTGATGTTACGAAGTTTGTAAGGAGGGTGGTAATTTGGCAGCAGCAGGTGGATAATTAGAATTCAAAAATTTGGTCCCGAAGCAAAGATTGCTCACTGCACTTGGCGTGCAGCCAATATATGAAATATGTATTGATTGGTGAACGCGTGTAGTTTTTGATATTAGGCGAGATTGTTCGCCAGTGAGTCTGATTGTATTCATCTTATTATATTATATTCATCGTGTTTTGTTACGTAATTTTTGCGGTTTGTTGCGTAATAATTGGTAATATTATTTAGATTTTATTATTTATGATTATTATTATTATTTATGATAATTATTGCGGTTTGAATTCGAAAATACAGTGGCTTCGAAAAGAATTAATTTATATGCTTAATTTTTATTATTATTATTATGATGTTGTCTTCATATTGACGTTATATTGACGACTCTCATTCGTGTATGATTTTGGCTCGCTGGGTAGTTGGTGTTGTTGTTTTGGGTCTAGTGTTGTTGATTGGATCGGAGGTTTTGGATCAAGGTAAGGTGATCGATTGGAGGGAGGTTTGGGGAGGGGTGACGACTTGACCTGAAATTGCTAATAGAGTGGCCTGGAATCGCGGTATCGGGAGAGAGCTAGAGGGTGCTTTAGTTTTAGGTGGGTGTAGAAGCGAGGTTATAGGTGGGAGGAACATAATGTCCGAGGGCTGTAGTATGTTTTGTCTTGCGTACGTGTCGTGTCGTGCGGTTGGTTCGTTTATGATGTATTATTATTTGGTAGTTGTATGTAGGTAGGGTATAATGTTCGTTGTTGTTGTTATCGTTATTGTTTTTATTGGTTTTGAATGAAAATAATTAAAGTTTTAGAGGGTACATTCAGGTCGTTGTGATTCGATATTAGTTATTATTTCGATTGACTTATATCGCTTCGATTATTTTTGATTGGTATTCTGATTTTTCGAAGAATTCGTCAACATTTCGGTCCCAATAAATATGTCGGTAGGTCTTGGTTTTGTTATTATTATTATTGTTTATTTATTTTGTGCGGGGCCGAATGTCCGTCTCGATGGCTCATTTTGGTAATTTTTGTTATTTTTTGTGGCGTGATGTGATAAATTTTGAATTTCAGCAATACAACGCCTACGGTTACGGAGCGTACGGCTACGGACAGTACGCAGGCGCCTACCCGCCGCAGGATGCGGCCGCTGCCGCTTTGCAACAGCAAGCGGCGGGCGCGGCGGCAGCCGCTGGTGCGGCCGCCGGCGCGACTGGAAGCGGCGCGTACAACGCGCGCTTCCACTTCCAGGCAGCGCAAAGCGCTGGATTCGATACGGGCAGCGATGATCACCAGCCAAGGACAGTGTATGTTATTAGTTTTAACTATATATTGTTGTTATATTAATTATTATTGTTTAATAGTAATTATTGTAGGTATGTGGGGAATCTGGACGCGAGTATAACGGAAGACTTCATCGGAACGCTATTCGGACAAATAGGCCCGGTGACGAAGACGAAAGTGATATTTGATGTGAGTTTTTATCAGTATTTGTTATTGTTACTGTAATTTAATAATGTATATAATAATTGTTGTTACTATTGTATATAATAATAATTATTATTGTTGTGTGGTATGATGCAGTTATCAATATTATTGTCATTTTGGCCGTGTTATTTGATATTGTATTTAGCGTGTTTGTCTTTTTCTTAGTCATTGATTATTCGATGCTATTTTCATGTTATCGTTTTCTTTTTCTTTTGGCTTATTAGTGATTTGTGGATGAGTTAATGCACGTCCGCTGTGGTGGGGAGCGACTTTTTATTATTCATTAAGATTTGATTTTTTAAAGTTTATTTTTATATTTAATATAATAATTATTATAATATTTATTATATATTGTTATATAATATTTATTGTATTTATTATTATTGTATGATATATAGCAACGGACGTGTTCTAATGATGTGATAATAGTGCCTCCCTGTATAGAATCATGGGTATCTACGCGCGCGGTTGAGTGAAGTGACTGCATGTCGGCTAGAGAGGGCAGACAGTCAGACAGTGAGCAGCAGACGGAGAGAGAAGACTCTTCTGTGTGCGAAGTAAAATTAATTTGATATTATTCATTCATTATTCATTCTTGTCTTTTGGATATTTATTATTATATTTATTATTATTATTATTAATACTTCTCTTTTGCTTGATTCATTCATTCTTTATTATTAATATTCTCTTTTTTTATATTTTGATCGATTTGTTATTCATTTGTCATTCTTTTTATTATTATCATTATTATTCTCTTTATTTCTTTGCATTACTTTTGTCTTGTTATTTAGTATTATCCATTTCTGTTGTTGTTGTTTACTAGTATGATGGCTTTAGTG